CCCCACCTCAGCCCGCCCCCGCCCGCCACGCCCAGCCACGCCCACGCCCACAGAGCCACGCCCTTTTCGGGGAAACCACGCCCCTTTCCGCCTATGGACACTCCTAATATGGCCCGCTCGCTCTTCAGCCCCGCCCTCTTTTCCACAGAGCTCCACCTCCTCCTGGCTAAACCACGCCCCCTATGGCGCTAAACCACGCCTCTTTTAAAGCGACACCGCCCTCTGCGCGTTTAACCACGCCCCCTTCGTGTTTAGCCCCACCAATCACGCGTGGCCACGCCCCGTTTTATGCTAAACCGCGTCCGTTTCGCGCTCAGCCCCGCCCCTCCCGGCGCGCCCCACGCGGGCGCTGGGGGGGGAGCGGGGGCCACGCGGGCGGGCCCGCTCGGCGCATGCGCAGCTCGGGGCAGCCGCTCCGCCTGCCCCCGGTGGGATTCGCCCCCCGTGTGTCACGTGATGGGCGGAGGGTTGGGGCGGGGTGACGTCACTAAGACCAGTGAGGTCGTTGTTTCATTCTTATGTTGACAGAAGCATTAATGACGTCACGGGATCAAAGCTGCCGTCGTCGTGTGACGTCACAGACGCCGTCAACGTGACGTCACATTGTTGACTCGCTCGTTTATGGCTCTAGCTTATGACGTCACAGAGCACACAGAACCCTGACGCGCCGCGATGTCACAGCGTAACACCCTCCCGTGACGTCACAGAGCACGCGCAACTCTTTACACACGTCCTGTGACGTCACTCCGCCTTATGACGTCACCCCTGCACTTCCCCCTTTTCCCCGCGCGGTGTCTCCCTCTCCCCATCGATCGCTCTGCGCTCGCTCTCTCTCCCCTCCGCGGCGGGTGGGCGCGGCCCCGGCAGGCGGCCTAGCCGAGCGCCGAGATGAGCCTGGCCGAGGGCCGCGCCCCGCGGAGAACGGCCGGGAATCGCCTCTCGGGGCTGCTCCAGGCCGAGGAGGAGGACGAGTTCTACCAGACCACCTACGGCGGCTTCAACGAGGCGAGCGGCACCGGCGGGGAGCGGCGGGAGGCGGCGCAAGGCCGGCGGGGAGACGGCGGGAGCGGGCCCCGCGCGCCCCCGGCGCTCTGAGGGGAGGGACGGGAGTGGCGGGAAAACGTGAGGGGAGCGGGGGGGGCGGGGGGTCCCGAGCGGGGATTTCCAGGGAATGCGGAGATTTCCAGGGGATGCGGAGATTTCCAGGGAATGTGGGGATGTCCAGGGGATGTGGGGATATCCAGGGGTGAGGTTTTGGAGGATCCATGGGATTCCCGGGGTGATCCATCCCTGTGGGATTCCGGGATAACGGATGACGAGCGCCCTCAGGGCGGCTCCAATCCCCATATTCCCAACATTCCCAGAATCCAGGGATGCTGAGCTCCATGGGGATCCCTCGGTGGGATTCCATGGATATCAGTCCCTGTATCCCACAAAATTTGGGGATGATGGGCAGCGTCAGGGCGGCTCCATTCCCGTATTCCAACATTCCCAAAGGAATCCGGGGATGATGAGCACCCTCAGGGCGACTCCAATCCCATATTCCCGATATTCCCAACAATCTCAGAGGAATCCAGGGATGATGAGAGCCATCAGGGCAAATCCAATCCCATATTCCCAACATTCCAAACATCCCACAGGAATCCAGGAACGATGAGCGCCCTCAGGGCAGCTCCAATCCCACATTCCCAACATCCCAAACATTCCCAACATCCCAAAGGAATCCGGGGTTGATGAACACCCTCAGGGCAGCTCCAATCCCATATTCTCAACATCCCAAAGGAATCTGGGGATGATGGGCACCCTCAGGGCGGCTCCAGTCCCACATTCCCAACATCCCAAAGGAATCCGGGAATGATGAGGACCCTCAGGGTAGCTCCAATACCACATTCCCAACATCCCAAAGGAATCCAGGAATGATGAGCGCTCTCAGGGCAGCTCCAATCCCACATTCCCAACATCCCAAAGGAATCCAGGAATGATGAGCGCTCTCAGGGCAGCTCCAATACCACATTCCCAACATCCCAAAGGAATCCAGGGACGATGAGAGCCCTTGGGGCAGCTCCAATCCCACATTCCCAACATCCCAAAGGAATCCAGGGATGATGAGCACCCTCAGGGCGGCTCCAATCCCACATTCCCAACACTCCCGCAGGAATCCGGGGACGACGAGTACCGCGGGGAGCACTCGGACAGCGATGACGAGGTGGACTCGGACTTCGACATCGACGAGGGCGACGAGCCGGGCTCAGAGCAGGACGAGGCCGAGCCCCGGCGCCGCCGCCGCGTCCTCACCAAGGCCTACCGGGTACCCAGCCCTTCGAATCCCGGGAAAAACGGCCCCAAATCCGGCGTTTCGGGGTCGGATTTGTGTTTCCATTCTCTGTTTGTGGCCTTCAGGAGCCGCTCAAGAGCCTCCGGGCCAAGAAGGCGGAGGGGCCGCGGGGAGGAGCCCAGAAAAGCCGGGAGGTGAAATCCGTGCCCTTGGAGCTGCAGGAGGATGTGGGAGACAGTGAGTGTGGGAATGGGGTGGGAGCAGAGTCTTGGTGATCCCAGCTGGAAATGGGTTTCTCTGGAAAAATTCCAGCTTTTCCAGGAATTGGGATCTCAGGGATCTCCTGGTGATCCCAGCTGGAAATGGGACGCTCTGGGAGAGCCTCTGGTTCCCCAGGGGCTGGGCTGGGGATCTCTGGGTGATCCCGGGGATGCCGTGGGAGCATTCCCGGCATTCCCAGCGCTCCGGTATTCCCGGAATTCCCGCAGGCCGGAAGCACATGCGGCAGTCCACCACGGAGCACACCCGGCAGACGTTCCTGCGGCTCCAGGAGCGCCAGGTGCAATCCAAGAGGAAAAAGGGAGGCCCCAACTACGAGCGGCCTCTGACCCAGGAGGAGCTGCTGGAGGAGGCCAAGATCACCGAGGAGATCAACCTGCGATCCCTGGGTGAGCCGGGATCGGGAATGGGATCGGGATACTGGGATCGGGAATGGGATACTGGGAATGCGGTACTGGGAATGGGAATGGGATATTAAGAATGGGATACTGGGATCGGGAATGGGATCGGGATACTGGGATTGGGAATGGGATATTGGGAATGGGATCACCGAGGAGATCAAGCTGCGATCCCTGGGTGAGCCGGGATCGGGAATGGGATA